TATCGAACGGTTCAATATCAATACGAATATCGTTGCACCCCTATTAACTACCTCTGCCTGGCGTTCTTTTCCTTTCCATCCCGGATCCAACTGTTACTGTCCCCCACCCTCTTCGCTTAACTTTCATGTGGGGACGTAACACTGCTATTATTGTGTTTTGCTGTGAATGCTGATTGTATGATGCATTACAGGAATTGTGGGTCTGAGTGGGCGGCTGATACATTTGTTGAGGCTGCTACTGCTTCTCTGGGCTATACTTTACTACTTTGGATTTATTATTTTTGCTTCTTGTCTTTTCTTTTTGCTCTTTTTTTGTAAGCAAGCATCTTGCAACCTTTAGATTACATACTTAGTCACGGGGGGCTACAGGTGAGCCCACCCTCATGCTCACTACCATCAGCAAAACAAGTCATAAAAAGAGTATATGTTGTTTCCTTATCAAGCACACCCAAGGACAGCACCCCCTAACGTTCACATGGAAAGGTACACTCCACAACTGTCCCTCTGTAGTCTCCTGCTGTACTATTCTTCTTTACAACCTACTGCTTATCTTGGCACATCAGAGGGGAACTGAAACTGTTACTTTCTGCTCTATCTGCCTTAAACTCACTTGGGCATCATGGAAAACACAAATTTTTATATTCTGCCTTACGGGGATTTGGACACTGCCTACTTGAGGCTCTTACACAACAACAAGCACTTCACCAGGATGCCGCGCTCTGTGTTATGGGAGATTTTAACAGATTTAATCTCAAACGCACATTTCACAACCTTCACCAGCACGTCCTCTGCCCCACCAGGGGCACGAGGACATTAGACCACTGCTACACTCCGCTCAAAGACTGCTGCAAGATTAGGCTTCTGCTGGCATTTGGAAAATCGGACCTTGCCGCCATCGTCCTTATGCCTGCTTACAAACAAAGGCTAAAGCAGCAAGCACCAATCAGAAGGGAGGTCGCACACTAGGCGGACCACTTGGTGACTGCACTGGATGACGCAGACAGGGACGTGTTTCGGCACTCTGAGATCGTGCATCGCTGCCTACAATGAAGGGCTTGTCTCCGGTAATATGGACCTATACACGGCTGCGTCTTAGAATGTGTGCAGCGCGGTCAGAAAGGCAAAGCAGAGTTACAGGGAAAAACTAGAGTCACGTCTACAACAGTGCAACTCTAGGAGCCTGTGGAAGGGACTGCAGACAATAACGGACTACAAACAACCAGCTTCTTCAATGAAGAATGCCGACGCTTCACTGGCTGTTGAGCTGTACACGTTTTATGCTCGCTTTGACGCTGTAGCAATTAAAACAACAAAAGTCTGCACGTGCACGGAGTGCACCAGTGAAAACGATGCCTTCATCATCACAGAGCATGCTGTGAGGAAAGCTTTCAGGAGAGTGAACACCATGAGGGCAGCAGGACTAGATGCAATCCCTGGTCGAGTTCTGAGAGCCTGCGCTGACCAGCTAGCACTGGTGTTCACGGAGATCTTCAACCTCTCCCTGGCCCAAGCAGTGATTCCCACATGCTTCAAAGAGTCCATCATTTTCCCTGTCCCAAATAAACAACAGCCCGCTTGCCACAATGATTACCGCCAACTAGCACTGACTTCAATTGTGATGAAGTGTTTTGAAAGACTGATGAGAGATCACATCCCTTCTTCACTACCTGCCACCATCGACCCACTTCAGTTTGCATACCGGACTAATCGTTCCACAGACGATGTCATAAGATAAGATAAGATAAGATAAGATAACCTTTATTAGTCCCACACCGTGGGAAATTGTTTTGTCACAGCAGGAAGTGGACATTGCAAAAGTTATGAAGCAAAAATTAGAATACAATAAGAATAAATACAGTACACAACTGTACAGAATAGAATAAAATA